AACGAAAGTTTTTTGAACCTGCGATTTTATTTTATAATAATTAGAGGTGATATATGTATATACATAATAATATATAAAATAAATGGAGAGATAAAGAAGATAGAGTAAAATTTCAACACTTTTACTGAATTTAAGATAATTTTCTGGGGGCTGGAGCAATAGCACAGCAGGTAGGGCGTTTGCCTTGCACAAGGCAGACCCAGGTTCGATTTCCAGTATCCCATATGGTCCCCCAAGCACCATTAGGAGTAATTACTGAGTGCACGAGCCAGGAGTAACCCCTGAGCATCACCGGGTGTGACCCAAAAAGAAAAAATAAGATAATTTTCTGAAGTGACTATGATACCTTTTAAAAGGGCATATTACAATCCCTAAAGCACTACATGAAAGTGGTCGGAAAACATAGTGCAAGGATTAAGATGCTTGCCTGCGTGTGGCTGATCTTGGTTCAAAACCCAGCATGTATATGGTTCCTGATCACAGTCAGGATTGACTCCTGAGCACAGAGTCCCTGAATATTACCAGGTTTGCCCCAAACAACCCCCAATAATAACCTCAAAAATTAGTTTTTAAAATTCACGGAGGATTTTAAGAGTAATTTTAAATTACTTAACACAAAAGATGGTGGATATTAGACATCAGATGAACAAAACAAAAAATGGTACACATTAATTCTGCCATATCAATAAAAACAAATGAGACACCACACTCAAAAGGCAGAGGCAGTCAGATTGGAGATAAGGCAAGATCCAACTAGGTGCTTTCTACTAGACACAAACCATAAATTCAGAGATACAAGTAGGTAGCAAGTAAAGCTATAGAACAAGACATATAGTGTAAATAGTAACCATAAAAATTATTTACATAAATAAAAAACACATGAAAAAAGGTACATATTTGCAACTTTGTAATTCACAGTGATTCAATTTTTAAAAAGTTGAAAAAATACCCATTATGAGACATTTTGTGCTGATAAAAGGTTTATGAAATCAGGAATATATAGTAAACACAAATGTATAAAACATAAATTCTCATAATGCACAAAGCAAAACACTGTGTCAAACTCCTTCAATCTTCTGACCACTCTAGGGCTAGAGCCATAGTATAGCAGGTAGGGAGTTTCCCTTGCATGTGGCCAACCCCAGGTTCAATTCCCAGCATCCCATACGGTCCCCCCAAGCACCATCCAGAGTGACTCCTGAGTGCAGAGCCAGAAGTAACCCTTGAGCAATGTTGGGTGGGACCTAAAAAGGAAAAAAAAAATCTGACCACTCTAAGTTAACCAACTTTTTCTGGTGCACCAGAGTCGCTATTTTGGTTTTGTTAAAATTAGTATCATTCAGTGCCAATAATCCCCAAAGGATTGGGAAACTCCTTTTCCCCAATAAATAGTCACTTTAGTAAAGAAAAGAAATCTTGAAAAAGACTTTGAGGAGGATTTATGATGTACTTATAATTATATGAGGTCCATTTCCATGAACCAATACCATTTCAAAGAACTCAGGTTTGTAAACTACTTCAATCTAGAGTTTGGATGATTTGGATGGCCTACTGTATTAAGCAGGACTGTGACAATAATATCTACTGGTATTTCTTTTCTTTTCTTTTCTTCTCTTTTCTTTTTTCCAATATAGATCAACAAATACACTAGTAGGCTGCTCTTCTACTCCATTCCTGGGAACACTCTCACCAAACTGATTTTTTGTTAGGTCTGTCTGGAGGCCACACCTGGCAGTGCTCATGGGACCATATGTGATGTCAGGGACCAAACAGGGGTCAGCAGCTTGCAAGGCAAACACCTTAAATACAACCCAGATTTCAAATTATTAATGTCACTATCTCCCTTTACAAACATGTGCTACCTTCTTTTGGCAGTTAAGTGCTGTCACTTTGCTTCTGCCATTCTGGTGTAATAGCCTCACAAAATTAGGGAGCTCATTTCAATGACAACAACTCCTAGCATCATACCTGTCCTGTAGCAATAGCAAAGCATCTATGAGAAAGAAACCCTATAGCGTCTGAGTAATAGTACCATTGGGAGGGCACTTGCCATGCATGTAACCAACCCAAGTTTGATTCCCTGCACCCCATTTTGGTTTGGTTCCCAGAGCCCACCAGGAGTGATCCCTGGAAAAAGTCAGGAGTGGGTCCTGAGCACAGCCAGGTATGGCCAAAAAAAAAAACTAACTAAAAGGGCTTAAATTACAAACCTGTCTATATATTATTGTAAACCACAATGTATATATAAAGTGTAAGAGGGAAATAAAAAATAAAATAAAATGTCTACAAATCATAGAATACTGATCAATATAACTTTAGGGACAATATAGATATTGACAAATTTGATCTATTTAAAATATATAATATCTGATTAACTTTCTTTGAAACCAAGGAAAATTTTGATAGACCTTTTTGGAGGTCTGTGAAGTAACATTAACAGTGCACCAACCAAAAGAAGTTTGGAAAATTAAAACCAATGGGTGCTTCTATATTTCATATGATTATTATCTTCTTCAAGAAGCTCAAAATACATAGTGAAGGGGGTATGGTGCCGCCAGCAGGTCAATCTGTACCTGTGAGGTGAGTGCATCAGCAGCCTGATGGTGCCTTTAGACTTCCAGATACCCCAATATTGCTGCTGTGCCTTTGACCAGACCTCAAAAACTTGGGACAAGTTTACTAAGAAAGTAAACAGCCAAAAGTTACGTATGTGGGAGACACACCCACAAACCACCACCAGCTCAGCTATATAATTGGAGGCATGGCCTCTCTGGTTCCTGATTGAAATGCTTAATGGTCATGATCCCAGAGACTCAGAAACAAATCTCCAAACCCAATGGCTTTTGGCAGAAATGCGTCCAGTCCCTGCAGTAGGTTACCGGTGCTGGGCCAACCCAGGTGGGAATAGGTTTTGTGCCTTGGCCTATTCCCCCTGGCAGCCTGGTGGCCGCCATCCTCCAGAGGCCACTGGACAGTCAGGTTTGGGCCCGCAGTGAGGAGACACGCAGGGCCTCACGGAATGGGGGTGGATCCAGTCCTTTCCTCCCCACCCCAACGAGACCCCAAGTCATCGCCCACAAACGGCCTCTCTGGCTCCTGATCAAGCTGCTTAACGGCCATGATCCCAGAGACTCAAGAAACAAATCTCGAAACCCAGTGGCTTTTGGCAGTAGGTTACTGTCACCTTGCACCCTAGGGGGGAAAGGGTGCTGTCCCTCTGCCTGCTCCTCCTAGGCGGCTTTGTGGCCACCATCCTTCAGAGGCCACTGAACAGTCAGGTTTGGGCCCTCAGTGACGAGACACGCGGGCCCTCATGAGATGGGGATGGAGTCAGCCTTTTCCTCCCTGTCCCAATGAGACCCCGAGTCGCTGCCCATGAATGGCCTTTCTTGCTCCTGATCAAGCTGCTTAACGGCCATGATCCCAGAGACTCAGGAGCAAATCTCAAAACCCAGCAGGTTTTGGCATAAATCCCTCCAGATTTAAGTGTTAAAATTTCGGAATTTCAAAATTGCACGGGCACTACTGCAGCCACAGAACATCATATGTTATTCATAACCAGCAATAGAAACAAATTGTTTACTATTGCCTTTTCAGCAGATCTGAGTTTTGGGATAAAATATCAAATAATAATGGTGGGTCTGGTGTCAAAATATTGAATGTGATCAAAGTAGAGAGAGAGTAATGTGGAAATCATCTGCCCCACAGGTAGGGGGAGGGTGTGGGATGGGGGTATATTGGGGTTGTTGGTGGTGGAGAATGGGCACTGGTGAAGGAACGGGTGTTTCATTGTATGACCGAGACTTAGAACGAAAAGCTTTGTAACTGCTCTCACGGTGATTCAATAAATAAAATTATTAAAAATGAAAAAAATATAAGGTGGAGTTCATGCCCAATTCAATCAGCTAATCAGTAAAGGTAAAGGTAAAGGCCCTCCCGTTGATCGTCGATTTGCTCGAGCAGGCCCAGTAACGTCTCCATTGGAGACTTTGTTGTTACTGTGTTTGGCATATCAAATACTCTTGGTAGCTTGCTGGGCTCTCCGAGAGGGGCGGAGGAATCGAACTCGGGTCGGCCATGTTGGCCGCTTGTAAGGCAAATGCCCTACCGCTGTGCTATCGCTCCAGCCATAAATAGCAGTACTCCTACATAAAAAAAAAATACATAGTGAAAGTAAATTAACTTCTACAGCATACCTAGTTGATCCTATGGCAAAAGAAATGGCACTGCAAACCAGAATTTTCTGTATTTTTTTTTTGTAGGAGTACTGCTATTTATTCAGCCACTGATTAGCTGATTGAATTGGGCATGAACTCCATCTTAATTAATTAATTTATTTATTTTCTTTTTATATTTATTTATTGAATCACTGTGGGAAAAGTTACTAAGCTTTCAGGTTTAAGTCTCGGTCATACAATGATCAAACACCTTTCCCTTCACCAGTATTCATTTTTCACCACCAAGAACCCCAGTATACCCCCTCTCCCACCCCTCCAAATGCCTGTGAGGCAGATTATTTCTACTTAACTCTTCTCTACATTGATTACATTCATTATTTCGACAAAAGATGCACCATTATTGTTTAGAATTTCCCCCCAAACAATCAGAATTGCTGAAAAGGCATTGTGAAATATTTTGTTTTCTACAGCTGGTTATGAGAATCATAATGTCACGCGGCCACGACAGAATTTTCATTAAGCAGAAATCTCAATATTAAGAGATTAATTTACAAGTAGTTCTTTCAGTAAGTATTTATATCCGTGATGCCTGTAAGCTAGCTAGGTACAGTGCTATCACTGTTAATGAGAATCAGATAAATCAGGGAGCTGGAGAGATTGTAGAGCAGGTTGATCTGGTTTTGATCCCTGGCACCCATAAGTCCCCCAAGACAGTTCTGAGTGAGTGCAGAGCCAGGAGTAAGTCCTGAGTGTTGCCCCAAAACAAACCTCCCAAAATCAGATAAACAAATGAAAGAAGTGTTGAAGAATTCTGTTGCTCACCTGTGCTCCTTCTGGTGGTGGGAGACGATAGCCAAATACGGGCGGGACAGGAGAGCCACATTCTTGACAGAAGCGAGCAAAAGGATCGGCTGGGCGGGTGGCAAGGCAGTGGGCACACCTGCAACAGGAGAGGACCCTAGCTGGGCACAGTGCGCAGAGTTTATATTAAGAAAATAAGGTAGAAATCTAAAATTTTCAAATATTGTTTAAACACAAAATTTAAAAATACAAGGAAAGAAAAAGCAGACTACTCTCAGAGTTATGAAGCCAGGTCAGAGCGAAAGAAATTTCTCTACTTATTTTACTGCAAAGTGGACTCACCCCGAGAGCCACAGGTGCACTTGGCCTGTGGCTGGTTTATCTCATTTTCTGACTGAATTTAATCAGCAGCCTTGATCTCTAGTTGTGTGGGACTCTGGCTTTTCCTATTACACTAAATTTGATGTGTAGAAGAGTGAGCCCCCAAATTCCAGAAATGTCTGAATTATACTTTCTGACTTCTTTCCTTGCCACCAAGCCCAAACTGAGTGCTAGATCTTTCCTGGCTTTCTGGAAGGCTATTGAGAAGGTTCATTCTTGATCCTTTAATTTATCTGATCTCTCCGTAGTATCTATCATGTTTGGATACTGTGCACTGGAGTGTTTAGTTGCTTGTACAATCTTTTGTTATCATGAACCACATCATTATTCCAATCTTGTCGGCTGAAAAAAATGTCAAATATTCATATTTGCAGGTATAATACTCACATTCTAGGCTTACAGAGCTACTACACCATACCCATCACTTAGAGAGCTGATATTTCTCACTCCCTAACATGAGTCCATTCTCACACCTCTGCCTCCACTTTGACTTCATCAGTTCTGTTGACAGTATCATGCTTATATTTTCTTGTTTATTGCCTACTCTCTAGCCTTGTTTTTTTATACTATACATATGAAAGATCATTCAGTAATTCCCTTTCTCCTGACTATTTTCACTTAGCATGATGCCCTCCAACTGTCTTGGGGGACTTATGGGGTGCCAGGGATCAAAACCAGATCAACCTGCTCTACATAATAAAATGCAACATCTTATCTTTTCTTATCGCTGAACTCTGTTTCATTGTGTGTATATATATGTATATATACATAAATATACTAATTTCTTTACTTATGTAACAATACTTGTGTTGTTTTCAAGTTATGATAAATAGTGCTGAAATGAACAGAGATGTGCACATACCTTTACAAATTAATAGTTTTGTGTTCCTGGAAATGGAATTACCATTCCATTCTTTGACACCACTACCATCAAAGAATGGAACTGCTGGGTCATGTCGAAGTTTCTAATTTGCATTTCCCTGATTTTCGGTGGTGATGAACACTTTTTCATATGCCTGTTGATCCTCTTTAAGTCTACTTTGAAGAAGTGTCTGATCATCTGCTCTACCCATTTTAATAGGTTTGTTGAGTGTTTTTTGTTGATGAATTTTGTTAGTTCTTTATGCATCTCAGGTATTAGCCCTTTGGCTCAACATATGATTTGCAAACACTTTTCTCCTACTCAGTAGGGTGTCCTTTAATTTTAGCCATTTCTTTGATAGTACAGAATCTTGAACATAGTCCCATTTCTTTATTTGATTTTTTTTAGACTTAATATACTATTTTTTAGTGTCTTAAAACTTTGAGAAGGGGCTGGAGAGGTAGATAGCACAGTGGGTAAGGGCATTTGCCTTGCACACGACTGACCTGGGTTTGATTCCCAGCATCCCATATGGTCCCCCGAGCACTACCAGGAGTATTTCCTGAGTGCAGAGCTAGGAGTAACTCCTGTGCATCGCCGGGTGTGACCCCCCCCAAAAAAAAGCAAAAAATAAAAAAAAAATAATAAAACTTTGAGGATATTTGAATCTATCTTCATCAGGAAAACTGTCTGCAATATTGTTTTTAGTGGTGTCTCTGCTTTTGGTCACTGTCACTGTCACTGTCCTCCCGTTGTTCATCGATTTTCTCGAGCAGGCCCAGTAATGTCTCCATTGGAGACTTTTGTTGTTACTGTGTTTGGCGTATTGAATACATCACAGGTAGCTTGCCAGGCTCTGCCGTGCGGGCGAGATACTCTCGGTAGCTTTCCGGGCTCTCTGAGAGGGGTAGAGGAATCGAACTCAGGTCAGCCATGTTGGCTGCGTGCAAGGCAAAAGCCCTACTGCTGTGCTATTGCTCCAGCTCATGCTTTTGGTAACAGGGTTATTTTTGTTTCATTAAAGCTGTTTTCAGGGCTGGAGCAATAGCATAGTGGTAGGGCATTTGCCTTGCACGCAGCCAACATGGCCGACCCGAGTTCGATTTCTCCGCTCCTCTCGGAGAGCCCGGCAAGCTAGCCTGGCAAGCTATTCGTGATTGTATTCTATATGCCAAACACAGTAACAACAAAAAGTCTCCAATGGAGATGTTACTGGGCCCGCTCGAGCAAATCGATGAACAATGGGAGGACAGTGAAAAAAAAAGCTGTTTTCAAATATTCCTGGTTTGGTGTTTTTTTTGGGGGGGGGAGGAGGGAGGGACAGGTGTCACACCGGGCGATGCACAAGGGTTATTCCTGGCTGTACACTCAGGAGTTACTCCTGGCAGTGCTCCGGGGACCATATGGGATGCTGGGAATCAAACCTGGGTCAGCTCATACAAACCAAATGCTCTACATGCTGTACTATTGCTCCAGCCCCTGGTATTTTTTTTTTAACTTTCTGGAGAGTTTCAGAAGTACAGGATTAGGCCCTCCTTGGAAGTTTGGAAGAATTCACTAGTGAAGTGATCTGGGCCTAGGTTTTTATTTTGGAGATTTTTATTTGTTGCAATGTTTGCTAATAACTGGTCTGTTCAGATTTTCTACTCCCTCCTGACTCAGTCTTGGGAGGTTTTAGGATTCTAAAAATATATCTATTTCTTCTAGGTTCTCCAATTTAGTGGTATAAGGTTCTTTGTGTATTTCTGTGCTGTGTGTTATAACTTTTTCTCTGTCCTTCCACTCTTTTTTTTTTGTTTTGTTTCTGGGCCACACCCAGCGATATTCAGGGATGCTCCAGGGTCAAATCCAGGTTGGCCATGTGCAAGGCAAGCTCCCTTACCACTCAACTATCCCTGGGGCCCCTCCTCCTCCTTTCCTTTCTGATCCGATTTATCAAAGTGTTCTACTCTATTTCCTCCAGGAATCTAAGGATTTTTCAATTTTGTTAAAAATAATTTTTTAAAGCTCTTGGTTTTATTTCTCTTTTGTATTATGTTTTTCCCCCTTACTTCTATCTTGTTGATTTTCACTAAAGTTTTATTAAATTCTCCTACTTACTTTAGGCTTCATTTGTAGTTCTTTTTTTAGTTTCTTGAGCTGTGTGGTTAGATAAGTTAGCTTTTCTTGTATCTTTACGAACACCAGTATTTCTATGAATTCCTTACATTGCACTACTTTTGCTGTATTCCGTAAATTCTAGTAGCTCTTTCCTCATTCTCATGTTTCCATGAGGGAGGAAACACTTTATCTAAGGAAGAGGAAAGTATAAGCATGTTAAGGGAAGATTTGGAGAGTATCAAAATAATCCAAATAAAAATCATATTGATATTAAAGAACTATTTGAAAATAGAAAAAAAATTAAGGGAACAAACACTTGGAAAAAACTATGAAACCCATACATCAAAGCTGTTCAACGGAGCCCCAACAGTCATGCACACCAACTGCCTCCACTGTCATGTGAGCTCATATACCGGTTTTGCTCTAGGGACTCATAAATAAATTTCAAGAGAGATAAACTAGCCCAAAACACTTCTCAGATGCCTGTTCCTGGCTGAGACATCGGGCACTCCAGAGGCTGAGACATCAGCACCAGCAGCCACTCCCACCCTCCAAAGTCACTGCTAAACTACTCCTTTGTCCCACCTGGAAATTAACCTGCCCAAAACTCAGGTCCACAGGTTCCTATGAGTGAAATCTCCAGACTTTCTAGAAGATGGGTAGGATGCCTCCGTGCCACACACACACCTGCCTGTATTTCCAGAAGTCACAGTTACACCTAAAGCTGCCACCTAGTTAAAAATTTAACTCCAGGTATACTGCCCATTTAAAAATTCTAGATTTCCTGGAGAACCCATGTGGCCACACAACATCTCCAAACTCTACAACACTGATAATCCAGTAGCAGCACACCAGATTAGATGGGATGTAACACAGAAGCCAACTAATCTCAATTAACAAAAAATTGACACAGAAAGCTTAACTTGTAACAATATTTCAGTAGTCCCTCATACAAGAACTTAATGTCTTCATGGTTAGATACAACAAGTTACACTAATTTATTCTAAAGAAATACTTTTTGATCATTATGTTATCAATTTACTGGTAAAAAGGAATATAAAACAGATTAATATGGGACTGCTATAAGGGAAGTCTTGAGGGGTGACTGGCAAAATTGGAGACAATGGTGGAGGGAAGGTGATGGAATTGGTGTTGCAATACTGAATGCCTGTAACAAATCATCATTAACAACTTTGCAAACCACAGTGTTTAAATAAAGTGTGGGTCATCAAAAGAACAAATGCAACCAGTGTTGGCATGGATGTGGTGAGAAAGGGACTCTCCTTCACTGCTGGTGGGAATGCTGACTGGTTCAGTCCTTTTGGAAAACAGTATGAACTATTCTCAAAAAATTAGAAATTGAGCTCCCATTTGACCCAGCAATACCACTCCTGGGAATACCCCAGAGAGGCAAAAAAGTCCAGTCGAAGTGACACCTGCACTTGTTTGTTCACTGCAGCACTCTTTACAATAGCCAGAATCTGGAAAAAACCTGAGTGCCCGAGAACAGATGACTGATTAAAGAAACTTTGGTACATCTACACAATGGAGTACTATGTAGCTATTAGAAAAGATGAAGTCATGAAATTTACATACAAGTGGTACTACATGGAAAGTCTCATGCTAAGTGAAATGAGTCAGAAAGAGAGTGACAGAAAGATTGCATTTATCTGGGGAATATAAAGTAACAAAACAGGAGACTAACACCCAAGAATAGCCGAGATAAGTACCAGGAGGTTTATTCCATGGCTTGGAGGCCAGCTGCACATACTCGGGATGCCTGATGCATGCTGAAA